TCTTCTTTTTTCATATGCTACTTTTAGTTTAGTTTACAAAGAAACACCTTTTTATTTTTAAAACTGCCTGAATTGTGTTATGTATTATTGCTATTTAATCGCCACATATGCAAAATAATGCAGCAAACATGACAGCAGCTATAAGAGATTGAATGAAGGACTAAGGAAAAAACCAAATAAGTACAAGGAGATCAAGATAATTTGAAGCCTTCCTTTTAACATTTCTTAATATGCGTTGCAAAATAAGACAGTTATTGAGTGTTCCTGGAAAAATGTAAAGCAGAAGAATACTGTGTTAAGGGGAGTCTGAATACACTAAGCAGTGTTTCTCAACCTGGAGGTTGGGACCCCTTGGGGGGAGGGGTTGTGTGGGGCCATAAAAGACCATCAGAAAACACAGTACTTTTTTTGGTGTGGGAAGTTTGGCCCAATTCTCTGTGGGAAGTTTGGCCCAATTGGTGGGGCCCAAAAGGCTCTTTGATTGTACGTGAATCCCAGCAGCTACAACTCCTAAATGTCAAAGTCCATTTTCCTCAAACGCCACCAATGTTAACTCTGGGCATATTGAGTATTTGTGCCAAGTTTTGTCTAGATCTATCATTGTTTGGATTCACAGTGCTCTCTGGATGTAGGTGAACTACAACTCCAAAACTCAAGGTCAATGCTCACTAAACCCTAAAAGCATTCAAAGCACCCCCAACAGATGGCCATCCAGCCTCTGCTTAAAAGCCTCCAAAAAGAAGCCTCTTCTTAAAAATGATTACAAGTGATGGACAATATGTAATGGACTTGATTCTAGAGAAGTGGTTCTGAACCTGTGGTTCCCCAGGTGTTTTAGCCTCCAACTCTCAGAAATCCCAGCCTGTTTACCAGCTGTTAGGATTTCTGGAAGTTGAAGCCCAAAACTTCTGGGGACCCACGGGTTGAGAAACACTGTTCTAGAGCATAAAGAAGTTACTTTTTAAACTGCAATTCCTATAATTCCTAAACTAGCATGATCATTGGACATTCTGGCTTGGGAATTTGAACACTGTAATCCAAAAATGTCATGTTTTGGAGCACTGGTTAAGAACATAGGCAATCAGACCACTGATCACATCTGTCACAGTGCTGAAAAGTATAACTAGCATCTATGGCTTTCCATGGTTTCAGGCAGAATGTGTTCTAGACTATCATGGGAATCCCTGAGTGAGCACCCCTGATGGCCTCCCCTCTGAGTATCAATCAGGCTCAGCCCTACTTAGCTCTTAAAATCATGCACAACCCTTCAATATAAAAAACCAGGATCTCTTCAGTCATAGCACCTCACAACTGCAATGTAAATTAAATATACATTTAATATCTGGGTTATGCTTAGAAACTATTGTGTCCTTCTCCCAATCCAAGCGCCCAAATCACCATCCCATTTTTCTTATGGTAGTCTCTGAGGACTGAAAAGAATGCCCCGTGGTGAAAGATCAGGGTGATATGTTAGTTCCGTTGATATAATTCCCTGAAACCAAGAACAGAGCAATTTCCCCACTTTCCTACAACTCCTACTCCACTTTAAAGCCTTCAAAACCAGCTCTGGAAAGCTATGAAAGTTTTCCAGTGCAGGTTTCTGACCAGTATGGAGGGCTATAGAATTAAGATAGAAAAGGAAGTCGTCGTTCTGAATATCTGTTGTATCAATCACACAATTGCCTAAAATCTAATAGCATCCATTAGAACTGAGGAGAGTTCTTTGCAAGATTATTTTCTTACCATAGCTTCAATTTGCTGGCCAAGGTTATGACCCCACTTTTTCAGTTCACCGCTGTCTCCTGCCCAGAACCATGCCTGGAGGGCATCTTTGACAAGGAGCAAAATACCAGGAGTACCTTATGGAAATTAAAGCTGTAGGGAGGCCTAATAGTTATATTAGAAGCATCAATGGCTCATGTCTGTGTGTGTATTTGGGGTATGCTTAGAAATGAGGAGAAAAAAAATCTTGCCAAGAAAACCACATGATTGGTTCACCTTAGGGTCACCACTCGTGAAAGAGTAAAACAACAAAAAGTTTGTACACTGTGAATGGGTCCAGGCTCAGTTTACTGGTCTGTGTAGAGACAGCAAGGAGCCAGCAAAAAGGTCCATGAATTCTCTCCAAACTACAAAAAAAGCTTAAAATCAAGAATGAGATTGGTATAGGTCATATCACCCAATAACTGCAATGCAATCTCTCTAATCACATGTCAATCAAATATGTCTTTGTATTTTTTGGCAACTTGATGACCATTCACCTGTAATTTGCTGAATACAAGTGTCCTGAATGACTTTTCAATAACTTTGAAGAATAGGTTCTTTTTATTGCAATTTCCAGTGTGAGAGGGTACATCAGATTACAGAAAAACATTTGGACGAAGAATGACATTGGACATACAGACATACAGATTCTATGCAACTACATTGGATTTACAATTACATGGCTAACAAACAAACAAAGGGAAATTACATTTTCATTCAACATTCACACCACATGTACACAGATTCATCCTCAGGCATCCAAATATTACCATATCATTTTCTCCCTCCTTGGATAAGCACCTGTTAGGCCAGACCCTGCTTTCCTGCAGCCTGCCAATGCATAGTTCCATAACTTAAAAATGCTGAAATACCAAAACTTCTTTCCCTAAGAACAATGCCAAGGACCAGGTTTCTGTTTTGCTTACAGCAGAACCCGACTCCCTGCACAAAATCCAAGACTCCAAAAGTGCACTTCTTCCTCTTCCCTGGAGAAAGAAGCCCCAAAGTGTCCAGAATCATGCTTTACTATAGCATATCTGACACTCTCTGAATACAACATCTCTCTCCTGCCCATGGAATGGAGCATGGTGGGTCGAACAGACTCCTCAGGTCTGCCACACTTTGAGCATTATTAGATTGAGGCTTTTATAGGAATATTTTGCTGATGTAGTCCCAAAGTTGTAAATTAATGATTGATGTCTTCCATCCTGGATCCATCTCAGTTTCCTGGCCAGATGTTGATCTTCTTGATTGGTGTTGACAAACACAAGGCTTGTGTTAACTTCCTTCTTAACATAAGGAATGTTGCAAACATTTTCTTAAATTGAAATAATCATTGTCACAGTTTTTATCACAGTTTACTTTTCAGTTCTTATTAGCAGGTTTTAATCACACTCCAGCAAGCAGGTAATTAGTCATTGCAGGCCTTAATATTATACTGGTGTCTCCAAAATTATTAACTCCATACATACATCCTTCCATTCTTCCATTCATTCCCACACATATATTAAATCCAAATTGATAAAATCTTCAACAATATTTTCATGACACAAGGTACATATAATTCGCCATCTTTCCCAGTGCCTTATAAAAGTTCCTTTTTTTTGTACAACTACAAGACCCTCCTAGCTAGGATGGGGGAATCTGGGAATTATAGTCCAAAAAAGATGGTAGCCTTCTACAGACATGTGTGGTGCCACTGATTTTTGCAAACCACACTTCCTGATGGGGAGTAGGGAGAAAGAGTCACAAGGAAACAGTTATGCAGCAAGGTTTTAGAACAATGTAGAAAGTGGATTAGGAAGAGAATCAACTCATTTAAAATGTGTTCCTGGGCATGAGTTATGTGGATATCATAGGCTACCAAAAAGTCAAATAGGTTGATCCTAGAGAAAATCAAGCCTAAACTCTTCCTGGATGCCATAATGACTAAACGATGTCTGTTGTACTTTGGCCATAACATGAGAAGGCATGACTTACCAGAAAATCCAATGACACTTGGTAAGGTAGGAGATAGTAGGAAAAGAGGAAGACCACAGTCTAGATCAGGCACCGACAAACTTCAGCCTTCCAGGTATTTTGGATTTCAACTTCCACCACTCCTAACAACTACAAGTCTGCTCTGTCCTGTTCTAGATGGATTGACTCATTCAAGGAAGTCCTTGAGTTTGCAAGGGCTGTTGAGAATAGGAGATCTTGCTGGTCCCACAAGAACAGTTAACAATAGCAAACAACAATTATCCACCTTCTGTTTACGGACCAATCTTTGTATTCAGCCACTCACTGCTGCATTTACACGGCAAAAATTGTCCTCTAGCAGACATAAAACAACTTTCCTTTTAGCCTTGAACATCACTCCTTACAAAGTGTGTGAAGTATACACGTTGCAGGGATGCGTAGGGGTAAAGTCTGATACTAGCGAAGGCAGATACACACAAGTGAGAAAGCTTAATTGAACAGACACTTAGGAGATTAACACAATATACTTTGACGAGTTGGCATCCCACTTTAAATCCTGTGGGTGCCTCCTGTAGAATTCTGGCGGTTGTAGTTTTTTGAGGACCAGGACCTCTCTGGCTGAGAATTTGAGATGGCCCCTCCCTAAACTGCAAATCCCAGAATTCTACAGGAGGCAGCCATAGAATTCGAAGTGGAATAGCAACTCTTTAACAGTGTGGGGTGATAATCTCCTAAATAAGGTATCATGTTTTAAGACAGCTTTTCCCAGCTCGACAATTTCCTCTAATATTGGACCTGTACTATTTCTAAGCAATAGTCATAGTATGAGTTCATCATCCACTTGGAAGATAATTCCAGACTGGTGAAAGACAACTTCAAAATAAGTGCTTTGGAAGGCCTCACTAAACTACCAACTCCAGAATTAAACAAATGACAAAATGTGTTTCCAGAGTCAAGGATGACAGTCTTCATACCATTTTTAGCACATTCCATGATCTGTTCCAGAAACAAACAATCCAAGTAAATTTATGAAACGCTAATTAACAGATGTCATGTCTTAGTGTGAGTTAAAATGGATTAACCTTCCAATTACAAATGTTTAACATTGGCAAATTAATTTTTAGACCTAATGTACCAAGCTCTGGGATTCATGAATTACAAAAAATGGTAGCTGGTCAAATAAACAAACAAAACAGAGACCTGTTAGTAAAAAAGAAAGAAGCTATGCCCTTGCCAGTGCTAATTGAAATAATAAAATACCCCCATTATTTACTTACTTGACCTGGAATCCCGTTTCTGTATCTCCCAAAAGAAGGCCCGGCATCCAAGGACAAAGATTTCTCCAGCTTCCGCATCCGTGCTCCAGACACAACATCATCACTTCTCAAACTCTCCAGGTCTGTCTCTCTCTGTGATTTCTGGGCCAGATTCTCACCCTTCCAGCCCTCAGAGCTCTTCTTCCGTAGACGTAAATCATCAAGGCTTCTCCCTGCAGAGCCAAGGCTACTCTTCAGTTTAGCTGCTCGAAAGGCTTTCACACTTGTAGGGTCGAGGACCCGGAAGGTAACTTCATTCAGGAATTGTGAGAACTTGAGTTTGGCTTCAATTTTCTCTTCCACAACAGACAAGGAGCTTGAGGAACCTTGGCTCAGGATGCTCAAATCAGAGGTGGATGAACTGCTCCGGTTATGCAACTTCTTCCTCTGCTGATGCTTCTGGCTGGTGTCTCCTGCTTTCCCCGGGTAGAGTGAAGAGTGCTCCAGATGATGGATTTTTTCACCCCACTTCTGGTTGCATTTGAATCGATGTGATTGATAGCCTTCATCCTTATTTTTGCTTTTAGCAAAGCTTTTAGCTTCTGACCCAGGGCCACTTTGAAACTCGAAACTGTCCTCACTGGAACTGCAGGGTTTGGAATAGCTGCCCATGGCCAGTGCTCCCAAGTGTCGGCTCTCCATATCACTGATCGCTTCAGCATCACATAGATGGGCAGCGGAACTGCAACGTGGTCGTTCTTCAGCCATTCCTCTAGACCCTTCTTGCTTATGGGCCTTCCCATGTGTCCCACTCTCTGCCTTGATTTGTGACAGAGGTCCCTTGGACAACAGTTCCATGTGTTTCTTAGGCATCTGAATGTGACCTATTATCTGTGTAACCACCCCACGTTTTATTTCACCCAGACAAAATAACCAGTTTCTTTGCAAAATACATCCCTGGCCCAGCTGCCACACTTTACAGCCCCTAGTTACATATAGTCACCAAAATTAGATCAATAGTTGATTTGCATTATTTTAATTAGTCATACCAATCAACTGAATCTATAGTACATACTTGATTCCTCCCCTTCACCATCCCTGAGGGGCTGCTGATGAATGTGGCTTTGCATTGATCCAGACAAGCATATGATATGTTCCTGCCTGTTGAACTGTAAACTCATCCACAGTGATGTGAATCCATTTGCACTAAGTATGCTTTGGGGCAGTTACATAGCATGGCTTTTGAAAAAAAAATCAGATAAGAGAGAAGGTCATCTTATGGTTGTGACATGTCCTGGTCACACTCATGTTCTTGGTTCCACTGCTATGGTGGGGGTGGGAGGAACCCAGATTAAACTAGAATAATCCATTAAGCCATAGGAAAGGATGGCTGAGATTTGCATTGGGAGGTGTAGCATAAAGTTCCACACAAGCAGAAGTAGGACAGTGGGTTGTTGTAAGTTTGTTATGCTGTATGGCCACGTTCCAGAAGCATTCTCTCCTGGTGTTTCGCCTGCATCTATGGTAGGCATCCTCAGAGGTTGTGGCATCACAGAGGTTGTGGCTTGATAGCATACATGGGGAAAAAAAAGATCTTGGAGTCTTCATGGACAGCATGTTAAACATGAGCCAACAATGTCATGCAGCAGCTTAAAAAGCCAATGGAATTTTAGCCTGCATAAATAGGAGTATAGTGTCTAGATCCAAGGAAGTCATGCTACCCCTCTATTCTGCCTTGGTCAGACTACACCTGGAATACTGTGTTCAATTCTGCATACCACAATTGAAGGAAGATGTTGACAAGCTGGAATGTGTCCAGAGGAAGGTGACTAAAATGATCAAGGGTCTGGAGAACAAGCCCTATGAAGAGTGGCTTAAAGAGCTGGACATGTTTAGCCTGAAGAAGAGAAGGCTCAGAGGAGACATGATGAGGGCAATGTATAAATATGTGAGGGGAAGTCAGGGAGGAGGGAGCGAGCTTGTTTTCTGCTGTCTTGGAAACTAGGATGTGGAACAATGGCTTCAAACTACAGGAAAGGAGATTCCACCTGAACATGAGGAAGAACTTCCTAACTGTGAGAGCTGTTCAGCAGTGGAACTCTGCCCCTGAGTGGAGGCTCCTTCTTTGGAGCCTTTTAAACAGAGGCTGGATGGCCATCTTTCGGGGGTGCTTTGAATGTGATTTTCCTGCTTCTTGTCTTCTGCAACTGCCCTGAAATTGACTTATGCAAATTGCACTTAGTTTGTACTTCATTTAGGTTGTGTTGTACATAACTCATTAACAGAATGCCAGGTATGATTTAGGACATGACTTCTTTTTAACAAATATCCATTGGCAAATGGAAAGGTAGCACAATATAATTTAGGAAATAAAACATATATGTGTGCTCCTATGTATATCCATCAAGTCTACATTCTATGACCCAGAGCACTAATGCACTAGTCAGGGTTGACTGGTGAATCCACTAGTCACCTTAAGTCACAGTTTGGGAAAAAAAGTGATGGAAATAAATAAATAAATAAATAAATAAAGGGATAGATGAGATAAAGTATCAGTGTGATGTAATGGAGGAGCATTGGACTACCACCCTAGAGACCAGGGGGTCAATTTTCCATTAGCCATGGAAAATCACTCGGTGATCCAAGGCTAATCACACATTCACAGCCTCAGAAAACTCTGTGGTTGGGTCTTAGGGTTGTCATCAATCAGATATGACTTCAAAACACATAACAATGCTGGATGGATGGATTGATGGAAAACTCTACAGATCTATAGCAATATTTGTGGATTCACTTCACACTAGGTGGAGAGAGTTGAGGATCAATGGACCTACTGGTACAGGGGCAAGGAATCTAATCTAGATTTTGTCACTGTTCCTTCCACTGCTGCTCCAAGTTCGATCCTCAGAGCATTTTGGGGATATGTTGGAGTAGATTTTCTGACCCTACAGTAGTGGTTCCATTAGTTGTCCCTGAGGCAGGGGAAAATGTGTGGAGAAGAGGGATATAGGAAATTTTGTCATTATTTCAATTTTGATTGAGACAGTCTATTATGACATGGTGAGAGTGCTTGTCAAGGCTTTCCCAGTTTTGTATTTCCAGTTTGAGAATAAGATACCAAATTTGTAAAACATGGTAACTGTACCTGTTATCCAAAACTAAGCAGAGCCCCTGGTGGTACAATGGGTTAAACCCTTGTGCCAGCAGGACTGCTGACTGATAGGTCAGCAGTTTGCATCTGGGGAGCGTGGGTTGAGCTCCCTCTGTCAGCTCCAGGTCCCCATGTGGGGACATGAGAGAAGCTTGCCAAAAGGATGGTAAAACATACAAACATCCGGGTATCCCCTGGGCAAAATCTTTGCAGACGGTCAATTCTCTCACACCAGAAGCGACTTGCAGTTTTTCAAGTCACTCCTGACACGGAGAAAAAAAATCCAAAACTAAAAATTTCATGGTCACAGAATTTTTGGATCTGTTGGGTTGGTTGTATTTTTTATCCAGATCTAACAATAACCCCAAAGTGACTGTCTTTAAAGACCTTTTAACAGCATGACATGCCTTTGTGGGTGCCCAAAGCAGGCAAGATCTCACTCAGATTTGTGCTGGAATAGTATACTTTGCCACAAGCAGAAAGCACAGGTGGCATGTTCAACTCCTTTATACAAACAAATGGAGTAGTTAGGAAGATTCCAGGTCATTGCTACTCCCCTTCTCCAAACTCCTGCCATCTGAAGCAATTGTCTACTGCATAGAAGCTACCTAGAAACTCTTTCAGTAGAACAGCTCTGCTGAATTCCATAAGCTTTTAGCAGGCATCTGGGATAGCTAACTAATGCTGAGAAGAAAAACTCATATGAATGACCAGCATCTCTTTTTCATATTAATTCTATTTCTACCATTCACAGATGTCCCAGGGCAAGTAACAATATTAAAGCAATAAAATACAATAAGCAATGTTAGTGTAATGCACCTAATAAAATCTGTAACAATCAGCAGAGATAAACAAGTATAGTGCAGAGATCCAATCATATTCATTGCCTGCTTATAAATGCCCTGGTAAACATATGGCAGTAATGAAATCGCAGTAAAGTCAGCATCAGACTAATGTTGTGTTGGGCAGCAAACCAGTGAGGGCCCTGGTTTGGAGGAACTCTTCTCTCTACATCCCAACTGCCATTACCCTGGTGATGGAAGGAGAGAAAAAGAGGCAGTACTTGTTGGACAAAATCTCCTCCCACCACCCCCGTCCCTTTTTCTTTTTATAGCCTGTCTTAATTGGATTGTAAACCTGAGGGCAGGGAATAATTTTGTTGTTCTTCTATTTGTAAAGCACCATACACAGGGATTGAGCCATATAAATAAATTATGATGATGATGAGAAGAGGAGGAGCTGTTGGTGTTGGTGGAGGAGGTGGTGGTGGAGGAGGAAATAATTGTCATATTCAACCGTTCAGGGAATGGGCTTTCGGTGCTTAGAACTGGTGTCAGTGAACTCAAAGGACATGTTTTTCACTCCAGGACCTGGAATGTGAGTGGGGGTAGGGGGGGACACACATAGATCCTTGGTACTTTGAGGGATATATTTTACTATTTTGGACACACACCCTTTATTTTATAGTATATATGTTGCTATGTCCCTGGTATTTAAATTTCTGTGAAAGTTAGCATTTTATTTGAAATGATGCAGCATAGCATATTGAAAATGCTGTCACATTTCACATCCAACTGAGTGATTTCTATAGAAAGCTCTTGCTTAAAAACAGAGCAAAGAAAGGGACTCCAAAGAAGACTTTAGACCAGTGGTTTCCAATCTTTTTTAACCAGGTACCACTTGACCAGGGACCACTCTCCAATATTAGTACCAAAAGGGTTACTAATCAGTTTTTGGTCAACTTTAGATTTGTTTTGGTTATTTGGGGTGCTGATTCATTGGCTAGATCACATCAACCCCAGTTTCTGATACCGAACATATGCCATCCAGTAGTTGCCATCTACTCGCCTACAGAAAACCATATTTAATAATCTAGAGCTGATGTGGTCTATCCAAAGCAATTTTCTGAATCAGCACCCCAAATAACCCCAGGAACAGGCCTAAAAATGAAGACACCAAGGTGCCCCCACTTCCAGGTGCCACATGGAATGACTCTGTTCGGGGGGAGTGAGGGAGGAGGAGGAGAAGCAGCAGGCAGGAGGCTTGTTTTCACACCTTTAGTGGGTAGTGAGCCTCTCCCCTCCTGACATCCTGGTTGCCTTGGCACTATAAGAGGGTTTTGTGAGACCAGTCGCTCTCGTTACATTGGTGTAGTAACGGAGAGGCCGCCGTTTTTGTGGACCACTCGTGGTCCACGGACTACAGGTTGGGAACCACTGCTTTAGGTGCTGTGTTTTTTTTAAACTCCTCAAGAACGGTTTTACTATCAATTCGTAAACTCTTACTGATTACTAAGAAAACATCATCATTCACCATATTTTCGATAAGAGTGGATTATTTCTAGCAGCCTTGGATGAGTCATTTTGCTTCTTTTCCATCTACTATTGACCCCCCCCCCCAATATTGTCTTTTGTGATGTTCAAGTGGTTTCTTTCCCCACCTCACCCTTTTTTTGCTTTTATTGTTGTCATACCAAAGATGTGGGATTTTTGTAAACCATATTGCACAGAAAAGGCAGGTTAAATCCTGTACACATCTACAGGGGTATGAGAATTTCAGTACTTTTGCACTTTGCATCTTAAAGGCTGTGTTAAGGTTCTTTGAAATTGTAGTCTAGAGTCTCTTAAGAACTGAGATACCTTGGAAAACCAAGTTGAATAAAAGAGAGAGTGATGGCAGCTTTCTTTTGGCAAATCGGCATGTAGATTCCTAGCTCGATACCTTGGAAATGTTAAGATGATACATTCTGGGGGGCATTTCTGGTAGATGCAGTAGAGTGCATATCAAGTTTTTTTTAGGCAAAGGGTAATTGATGCTTATTGAGCTGCCAAC